TTTGGGAGCTGCTGGACTGGATTTTGGGAGCCAAGGTAGGGGTCTTCTGAAGAGCAGCAATCATCCCTTCTGAACCTTCTCTCTGTCCCACCCCACCGTTTTCTCTTGGCTTGAATTCCAGGTAGCCAAGGATGACCTTGAACTTTTTGCGTCGTTTTGTTTTCAAAAAAGGGCTTTGTTAAGTAGTCTTGACTGGCCTGCTACTGCTGTGTAGACCGGGTTGGCTTGAAGTTTACCTTCCTCTGCCTGAGTGCTGGCATTAAAGGCTTAGGCCTTGTCTTGTGCTGACCTTGAACTTCTGAACTTCTGATCCTCTGGCATTCACCTCCCAAGTATCAGGTTGATAGGAGCTTGTGCCCATGTTTTCTTTCTTTTTCTAAACTTAATTGCATCTATCTATCTATCTATCTATTTTGGTTGTGAGACTAGCCTTTAACAGCTGAGCCATCTCTCCATCTATGTATGTATGTATCTATCATCTATTTATGGTGTGTGTGATGGATGTGTAGACACATGTCATTGCATGTGTGGAGGTCCAGCTACAACCTTTGGGCATTGGTTCTCTTATTTCACTATGTCGGTTCCTGGGACAAACTCAGCTCATCAGGGTTGGCCGCATAAGCCTCTACCGACAGAACCATCTTCCTGTCCTTCCTGCTGCTTCTTACTCAACAACAACAACAACAACAACAACAACAACAACAACAACAACATCTTGAAGTATCCCTTTCAGGCATGCGGGTCACAAAAAAGCCATCTTCATTATTTTCCTCCTGATGACTTTCAATGTTCACCTCTTGTTTTCTTCCTCTCACTCTGTACCAAGGACATACAGTTGGGTGCCCATAAGTTAAATATATGTATGCCACAACACTCTTTCATTATTAGATGAAGAAAAGCAGGTTACAGAGCAGCCTATATATAGGAAGACTTCTTTGTGGGGGAAAATGTATTTGCATGAGGAAAATTCTGGAAGGAAGCATAAAAATGCAAATGGAACTTGACTGGCTGATGCTCACTTGGCCCTCCCCTCGCTTCTCTGGCTCTCATCTGTTCCTCTCACAATCACCACCATTGTCAGGGCACATTTGGCTGCCAGGAATGGGAGCCCAATCAAGAGAGGCTTGTGGGAGAATTCAGGAACTTCCGAGGGCCATTTACTCCTCGAGAACAGGGACTTATTTGTGCTGCTCACTCCATTTTGTTGAATAAATCTTCGGGTTGGCACAACAAAAATATGAATCCAAGCTGGCTCCTTTGAGTCCCCAGGGAGGGCTAGTTGACTGTTGCTTTTCCTTCATACCATCCCTGCCCCTTCCATACTTTTCCCCAACAGTCCAGTCCATATTCCTTCTTTTCCTCCTTCCCTGTCATTTCTGGTTTTTTGGAAGGAGGCAGTCAATACAGGGTCTTGCTATATAGCCATGGCTGGACTGGTATTCACTATGCATGTGTACATACATTTATGTGTGTGTGGAGCATGCACATGTGTTCATGTGTGTGTGTGGAAACCAGATCTCAACCCCACAGTGTCCTTCCTCAGGAGCTGTCCACTGGAGCTTGGGGATTGAGCTAGTCCCCACCTTTCCAGTGTCCCCATCCCTGTCTCTGTGTATACATGTAGAAGATTCAGCTCATGATCCATGCTTGAGAGTGGAACACTTTACTGACGGTGCTGTGTTCTCGGTCAACTTTATTATGTGTTTGTTTATTTATTTATCTATTTGTTTATTTTTTGTTTTGTTTTTGTCTTTTTGAGACAGGATTTGTCTGTGTAGTTCTGGCACCTGTCCTGGAACTTGCTCTGTAAAACAGACTGGCCTTGAACTCACAGAGATCCGCTTGCCTCTTCCTCCTGAGTGCTGGGATTAAAGGCATGCGCCACCACCTCCTAGCTTTATTACTTTTTTTTTTCTTGTTTTATTTTGTTTTCGTTTTTCGAGACAGGGTTTCTCTGTGGCTTTGGAGCCTGTCCTGGAACTAGCTTTGTAGACCAGGCTGGTCTTGAACTCACAGAGATCCGCCTGCCTCTGCCTCCCGAGTGCTGGGATTAAAGGCGTGAGCCACCATCGCCGGGCTGCTTTATTACATTTTAATTAAAATCGGGTCTCATGTAGCATAGGCTAGTGTTAAATCCCTGATCTTTCCATCTCTGCTTCATAAATACTGAAGTCGCAGGGCGCTAGCGCACGCCTTTAATCCCAGCAGAGGCAGGCGGATCTCTGTGAGTTCGAGGCTAGCCTGGTCTACAGAGCTAGTTCCAGGACAGGCTCCAAAGCCACAGAGAAACCCTGTCGCAAAAAACAAACAAACAAACAAACAAACAAACAAACAAACAAACAAATAAAACACTGAAGTTAAAGGCACATGCCACACTTGTCTTGGCTTTCCCTTTTGATTCCGAGTGCTGGGATTACAGGCATATATTTGCCCCAGCCCATCTCTACTGCTCTCTCCGTCCATCTCGGCTTGCAGGAGGATTTGCACGTTCAAACTTTGAGGTGAAAGCTTACATTGCAGAGACAGACACTTAGTGATGCCAAAGACAGCATCCTTAAAATTTTACATCTATTTATTTACTACTATTTCTTTATTTACTGAGTTTTATGTAGTGTATTGCCTTCATGTATGTGTGTGAAGGTAACAGATGCCCTGGAACTGAAGTTACAAACTAGTGTGAGCTGCTATCTGGGTGCTGGGAATTGAACCTAGGTACTCTGGAAGAGCAGCCGGTGCTCTTAACCGCTGAGCCATCTCTCCATCTCCCTATCTCTGTCTGTCTGTCTGTCTGTCTGTCTATCTATCTATCTATCTATCTATCTATCTATCTATCTATCTATCTAATCTATCGTGTGTGTGTAATACAATCACTCATGATGGTGAATAATGGACACCCGAGGACCATTTGCAAATGTTGGTTCTCTCCATCCACCATGTGGCTCCCAGGGATTGAACTCAGGTCGGCGGCTTGACTGCAAGTGTTTTTACTTGCCCAGCTACCTTACAGGCCCCAAAGCTTTCTCAGAGTTCACAAGTAGATTCACGAAGGCACCTCCCCCCAGCAGAGAAATAATTGTGCCCATTGCCACACACTGCTTTGTCCTGGTTAGCTTCAGCTGTCGTCTTGACATCCTTGAAAAGGCAAATCCTCAGCTGAGGAATTGCCTCCGCGGGACTGGCCTGGGGCCGTGTCTGTGAGGCATTCTCCTTTTTTTTAATTTACTATTTTTCATTAAAATTTTTTCATTTATTTTACATATCAACCACAGTGTCCCCTTCCTCCTTTCCTCCCATTTCCTCCCCCATTTCACATCTACCTGCACCGCATCCCCTCCTCCTTCATTCCGGAAGGGGCGGGCCTCTTGTAGCAGGTTAACAAGGAGCACCCTAAGAGGGACTATGGGTTTCCCAGGGAAGGGAAAGTAGATGAGATCTCCTGGGTAAACTGGGGCCAGAGCGGGGGTAGGGTGGGGAATGGGAACATGAGGCATTTTCTGTGGTGATATTTTGTTTGTGTTTTAACAAATGAAACTTTCTTGAAGATCAGAGTGCGGAACTAAGCCACTAGAGGCCCGGCAGTGGTGGCACACACCTTTAGTCCCAGGACTGGGGAGACAGAGGCTGGTGGATCTCTGTTAGTTCAAGGCCACCCTAGGCTACGCGAAATTGATCCAGTCTAAAAGAGAAACAGAGCACACAAAAGCGATCCCAGTACTTGGATCATATACCTTTAATCCCAGCACTAGGGAGGTGGAGACAAGAGTCCTATGGCTGTGTGGAGAGAGGAAGATAAGGCAGGAGACAGGAGCTTGGTACAATCAGGAAGAGGCAGTCTGAGGACAGCGACAGCGTCACCCCTTTGGTCTGAGCATTGGTAGAGGTAATAACTCTAGTGACTGGCTGCTCTGCCTCTCTGAGCCTTCAGGTTTTACCCCTTGATAGCTGACTCTGGGTTTTTATTATGACCAAAAAGAACCTTTATATATATATAAAGGTTTATTACTTATTATGTCTACAGTGTTCTGTCTGTATGTGTGTCTGCTTGCCAGAAGAGGGCACCAGATCTCATTACCTCTGGGCCATCTTTCCAGCCTCTTATTTGGTTTTTTGAGACAGGGTTTCTCTGCAGCTTTAGAGCCTGTCCTGGAACTCACTCTGTAGACCAGGCTGACCTTGAACTCACAGAGATCTCTGCCTTCCAAGTGCTGGGATTAAAGGTGTCTGCCACCACTGCATGGCCAAAAAAAAAAAAAAAAAAAAAAAAAAA